GTGCAAAGCCTCAAGGCGGGCCAGAAACGTGTCAGAAGCTACATCAATTTGACGTCGATATGAGCAAACAGAACGACGACGTCTTCTTGCTGGCAACGAGCGTGTATAGAGGCGCGTGCACTCTATTTTGCACTGTGGGATGGCCGCACGCCTTGTACGTGCATGTACGTGCATCGGGACGTGCATGTGCACGTACCGGTAGGTGAGTCTGTCCGTCTGTGCGTGCGAGTGCACTCTGTGTTGCACTGGGGTGGCCGCACGCCTTGCAAGTGCAGGGGGAGGTGCGCTGGGACGTGCACGTGCCTTCAGGTGCGTCGGCAGGTGAGTCTGTCCGTCCGCCCGTGCGCCTGCCGTGCCGGCCCGGCAGAGCTTGGCTGCAGTCATCAACCGGAACCAAACTGTGCTGCGCTCGGCCGGGCCGGCTCGTGCTCGGTGTGTCGAGTAGAGAAACACGTCCAGGAAAAATAAATGTTATCTTATTGCTTTAAGTTTTGCCACTAAAAGACAAGATTACTGCGAGCATGTTATTTAATGGTATACAGGGTAAGTTTATAAATTTCCCCTGAAAATCTTTTCAAGGTCCCCCCTCTATCATAATGAAATAATGGTCCCCTTGACCGATTCCGCACTTTGAGTAGCTCTCCTTTCTTTCCTTCACTCCCCAACGACAGAAGTGTCAATGCGATACACTCTCAAGAATAAAGGGTACAGGAAACAAAACACTCCGTATCGACTGGAAATGGAATGACGAGCAAAGGTGGGAGCTAGGTGGGAGGTTGTACGTGTACGACACATTTTGTAAATGGCAAATTACAAAATGTATCTTACATGTACGAACATATTTTTCACAGAGTACACGATACGCGCAGCGTTCAGCAGCGCGAGTGAGAGAGACAAAAGCAGGCCCTGCCTCTCCCTTTGCTGTCAATCCGAGTTGTTTTAGGGAGCGTTCCCCTTATCGTTGCCGTTTCCTCAGCCCGATCGCCTAGCTCTGCCTCAAACGTTAACGGAACGTTCGGTCCAAACGAAAACACTTTGTTTATGCGTTTTCGTCACGTGAGTCGTGGGCTTCGCCCCCACCCCCTCTCTTTTCCTCTCCTCTGCATTAGATAACGTGTCCAGGATTTGTGAAAGAGGTTCGGCACTGCCTGCTGGCCGCCTCCAAACAACGGTAGGATAGGAAGAAGGAAAAAACAAACCACTAAAAGTTAACGACGCTCCCGACTTACTTAACCACTAACTGACGACACACACGAAAAGATCGGGGTTTTTAACGGGCGCGGCTCCACCCCCTACCACCTTCCGCTGTTTAATTTCATAAGTTAAAGAAGCTGCCCTGGATATTAGAATGGGTTTTCTTACTTTAAAAATAAATGAACGGATGAATCAACACGCACTCGTGTAAAATAACAGTTCAGTTTCCGCACTGAAGAGCAGCAACGCCGCCAACGATCGCCACACCTGGCTGTTCAGTTTGCTATCGGCGCCGCCCCGCCCCGCCCTGCCCCGGTGGAGGAAGCGAACATCTCGCGGCTCAGTGCAGTGCAGCGCTTTAACAGCCCGGCCGGCCTAATGGGGCATTTCGGCATAACATAGTGCGGCGCGGCAAACCGTTACAACCCCTGGCGCGGCCGCGAGCCGACAGGCCCTGCCAAGTAAAAAGGCTGACCGGGACAGGAGGCTTTGGCTCGTCATCGAGTGTGTGTCCGCCGGGCGACACCGCGCCGCGCCTAAGCGAACGCATCCACCGGCTCCGGCACAGCACGGGTGTCGGGCAGCATCCCCTCTGACATTTGACGCGAGCACAAACTAAACAGTCAAACATTCACGTCAAATTAACACTGATTTGAAAGCAGCCCTAAAAGACACGTTCCTGACTGGGAGTCTGGGAGTCGTGTATCCATATCCATCGCCTCGTACAAAATCGCCTCTATGGATGTCACCGCGGTACACACACCGAAAACCCAAGTGTGTAAATGTCACACACTTGTAGGTGTGGGATCACCATTCCTACACTATGCGAGGCACATCACCTGTTATGCCAGCAGGGACACTGTAAAAAAATTCGACGCAAATTTACAAAAAAAAAATTAACTTGAATTACTATTTACGTTGTAAAATTACGAGAGCACATTTTTTACTCGCCAATTCATTTTAAGTCGTTACTATGTATCGTACTATGTATTTTTGTAATTTTACAACTTCACTGGAATAACAAAGGTGCTATGTAATGCCTTTTTACAAGAGTTAGTGAAATAGTGCTGTTACAATGGCGCGACTGGCCCCTAAAGGTGCTTTTTTGGCAATTATAGTGCCTTTACAAAGGTATTAGTATGCAGTAGCACCTTTAAAAGGTGTTATAGAGGGTGGTCCACAGACCCCTTCCTTTATTTTCCTTATACTGTAACGGATGCAGGCGTGCGGGCGGGTTGCGTACTCGTACGGGGCCATAAGGCGCCGCGGTGAGCGACGGTAGGCAAGCCCACCCGCACGGCTGGTTTGGTGCGGCTCGCTCGGGCCCGGGGCGTCACCGTCAGGGGTGGGCCGACAGGGAAGGCCAAACGCTGGGTACTCGGTACTCGTTGGGTTCAACGCCGAAGAAGTGGACTCAGCAGGTTGGGTCGCCACGAGGAGTTGCCGCGGCCTCGCGCGGCCGATTTCGGACACTCTTGGATTTGGACACTAACACATCACACTCGATCACTGCACTTCACACACTTCACTGACACTGCACTGGACACTGAAATCCGGATCTTGATGCACTTCCACCGCTGTGTCACCCACGCTGGAGGCTGGCTGGCACCGTAGAATCGCAGACACGGCCCGGCGGGCGGAGAGGCCTCAGCGCCCGGCCTCGCCAGATGTTGCGGCGCTCCACCCACTTCACGGAAGGCACGCAGGGGACGCCACCACGAAATACAAGAAAATCACTGATAATTTCCACACCGTTGCACTGATTGGAACGAAACTTCACACACACACACTCCGGAGCACAACGCCGATCCATAGGTACCAAGCACTTCCTGTAACACCGAGTTTGAACCACCAAAACCGAAGGGTTGAGACGGAGCGGCACGAAGCACGTCCGACCCCTCCGCTCCTCCGCTCCGCCTCCCGTGCATGCGGTACAGTATAAGCAAAATAAAGGAAGGGGTCTGTGGACCACCCTGTATAGCACCTTTGTTTTTCCAGTGTTGCGTCAAGGAAAATTTGCCCGTGAAATTTTCCTACTTTTCACTTACCATACGAGGGCTTATGGATCGTCCGTTTTTCACAGATTCATTCGGCAAATTACGGCGAGCTCAGCGCCTGTGAGACTTGGGGTAGGCCACCAGCAGTACATGCATGCCCTGCAGGCAAGATGTTGCCTACCATCAGGCGCTATGAGAGCTTTCAAAGGTTGAAGTTGGCATCGTCGGAACGGCGAATGACGGACGTATCGGCATACCGGGTGTAAATGTGAATACGCAGCAGTGTTGAGGGATTGCATACTCAATATGGCCGCAAGGGTCATTGCCCCTTACGGGGGTAAAGAGTAGGCAAACCCGCAACACTGCTGCGTAATCACAGTTATACCCGATACTTTAAAGGATGATCCCTTTTCCATAGTCAAAATTGGGGTCAGATGTTGTGGCTAGCGTCCGGGACAGCTAAATGGAAAAAGACAATTATGTAAGGGATGGTGGGGCAAATAGTGACACGTTTTGGAATTTATCATCAATGTGGTATGTTTCTGCTAGTGGTCAAAAACTTGGTTCTTTGCACTGAGGCTGGTGCTAACAGTTAACAGGAGGGCCAGGGCAGCGATTTGTCACTATGTTTCTGTGTCACTTAGTGCCCCCCCCCCCCCTACTTAGCTTAGATAAAAAACAAACGCATTTAAAAGAAACACAAGTTTAATCGTAACACTTCACGGAAATGCAGTCGTTACCTAAATAAGTAATACATTTCAGACTAATACATACTATGTGGCTGATTCACGCCGCGCAACTTTCGTAGTTATACTGTGCAGCATGCGCAGGTGCGAGCGGGTTTGCATATTCTCGTTGCCTACGGCTCCTTACGGCCCCGTGAGAGTAGACAACCCGCCCGCATGCGTGCGTGCCGTACAGTAACTACGAAAGTGCGCGGCGCGAATCAGCCACCTGGTATTACACAATTGAGTCATAAGGAGCGCCATTTTATGGAAAATTGCAACGTCTGGAGTTATAAACACCTAGTGCAAGAGCGGGTAACCTTCACCTTAACAGACGGGTTAGCGGAAAAGAGAGATTTGAATGCATCCCGATGCGCGGGACCCGGGGTGCATGGCCGGACAGCCCCGCAGTGCAGGCTGAGGATCCGCAGGGCAGGTGCAGTCGTTGGATTGATGCCTCGCAGGAGTTCATCGGTGTGCCAATCCAATGAGAGCTCTTGCAGTGCTGGGAGCCGGGGCAACACCGAGAGCAGCGCCAACGCCCACAGGGCAGCTCGCCGGACAATGTAAGTTTGGGAAAGAGCATGGCCTACTGCAACAGACATGTAAATACACAACTTCTCCACACGCGTCGAGGAGAGGGCAAGAATTGTCTCTGGCAAGACGTCGTCGACAGTCGTGGGCCTAAAATGGCAAATTAGTATGACCTTCCGCAACTGTTCGGCTTTGCAGAAGAGCTCCTTCACGGATCGATCATCTGAACAGAAAGATAGAGTCAGGATCCTCAGCAGTTTGCAGCTGGTCACGGCCTCTTGCCCAGGGTTGATCGCGTAGGTCAGGCGGCGTAGATTCGGCAGGTCAGACAGCAGGGAAGTTGTCGAGGCCGATAGGAAACACAATATTCGAAGTGTCTCGAGGGTGGCAGCGTGCCTTGCCAACACAAAGCTACAGAAGTGCGTTGCCTCTCGCTGTACGATACCTTCAAAGATAAATGTCTTGATGGAGCTGGGTACGGCGATGCTCTGCAAGGACTGAGTCATGTCAAAACTCAGACCGGAGCCAAACTCCGCTCTCACTTTAAGGTACGTCAGCCCACACGTCGACGCCAATGTTGTGAACAATATTGCGACGCCGGCGTCAAAGGTTAAATATTGACCGACTCGATATTGACCCAGCGTGACCGTCACTGACTTGAGCCTAAGAAGGAAGCTCTGACGATGAATGATCAGAGCAGCGTCTTTCATGTACTTGTCAACAAGCAAGTCCAGCCTCGACACGGCGCACCTGGTGGTGTACAGGTGGAGGCAGTTCTTCAATGGCAATGTCACTTGTAAGAGGCCCAGACACGGCGCTAAGCGCAGCACTGGACAGGCGCACGAAGCAGCCGACACCGAACAACACTTCCGCCGCCAGACGTGCGGGTGCATGGCCAGCGTGCCGAGCCGCTTGCAAACCAGCCGGCAGGCCAGGAGGTCTTCGGGGGGCAGCCACAGCAACACCTCCAACAGGGCGTCGTCAGGAAGGCGATCCATGCTTTCCTGTACGTGAAAAAGAGAATATGAGGGCGTTAATAAGAGAAAGGTTGGCGTTGGGACGTTGGGACTTCACGACACGGTTCCTTTGGTGAGGTTATTGATGCCTTATTTGAGGTAAGATTCGGTGACATGGATTAGAGAAGGGCAGTTTGAGGAAACTTTGGCTGCGGACTCATTTTTCGTTAAAGTACTTTGTGTTCGCTCAATGACTCTCCCGCTTCCACTTGAGGGCGATCGGGGAGCTCCCAGAGAACGCTCTACTTCCGTCCTCCCACTACCCCCTCCCCCCACCCTGTTTCAGTCGATTTGGAAGGCGTTTCCGGCTGTTTCCAGGGAGCTCTCCGATCGCCCTCCTTGCTCGCTGAAAGTGCTAAGATTTGCTCGCAATTAGAGCGAAAGGACCAGTGAAAGTTCGGGGCGACCCCTGGGGAGGAAAGCCCTCACCGCGGGCCTCCCGCATGGAGACCTCAACGCACCCCAGGCACAAGAGCTATTGGGGGCGGACGGATACGATCAGGGTCCGGGCACAAATGTCCACACGGCACTCTAATCTAGATTATAACGAATGTGACATGATATTCTAAATAATGTGACACAATTCACATTATATAGAATGTGACGTCACTGTATTTGAATAACAGTGACATGTCACGTTTAGTGGAGAAAAGCCTCCCATGGTTCATGGGAACACTAATGAGATTTCTGAAATAACGCACCACTTAATAATTTATGGTAAGCCACACATGGAAAACAGACCGCTACCCATGGAATAGAGAGATCATGCACTGTTAAAAAAATTCGTTGTAAATTTACAACATGATGTAAAGTTTGATAGCAACAAATGATAAAAAACAACACATGTTGTAATCCAACAACATTCCCCAAATTTTCTGAAACAAATTTTCATTTCAAAACAGTGGTTATTTACTTCCTCCTGCACCATAACTTTGTAATTACATAAGCTTGTTCGTTTTGTAACGATTCATCTTGCTATCAAAATTTACAACCGTTTTGTTGTAGTGTTACAACATGGTGAAAAGTAGGAACCATTTTTATGGACCACTACGATCAAAATAGAAGGAATTTTGCAACGTGCCAATGAAAACGAATGATATTGTTTTTTAACAAACTAGTCATTACAAAAAGTGTGATAATTTGACAATATTTTTAACAGTGTGGAATTCCATGGTGTCCGTGGGACTTTGGGACTTGGCATGCCAGCCCACGCCAGCTGCACACTTCATTACTTAGCGGTGTACTTGACGAGAAACTTCACCACTCGGTTCGAACGAATTTCCTTCGTTAAATAGTGGTCTGTTAAACAAACATTGTAATTGACGAGAAGTTACATCTACGTGGTCAAAGACTTGAAACAAAACCGCTGGGTCTGAGGAGAGTTGAACGAAATGGCAGCGCCGCGCAAGAGGGAAATATTAAAAATATTACGACGAAAACAAGAACCAGCAAAACGGCGGGGCAGAGTTGAGTTTCGTTACCGCAGGGAGAATCGGCCTTATTGTTCAGCCAGCAGAGAAGGAAGGGTGGGGAAGGAGACGCGGTAAGATCATCTTTAACAACCCTTCGCCCCTCCCACAGCCCCTTTCCCAGACCACAAGACCTTCCTACACTGCAGCGACACGAAAGCCCGTCCCCAGGGCGGGCGGGGCAAACCTCTCGCCAGACTGTGCCGTGGAGGAGCGTAGCGGCGTAGCGCGGGCGATGACGTGCCGACAAGCGAATGAATTAAATATAACAGGACACGAGGCAGGCCATACATGGGACCCACCGGAACCCACACATGCGCGCGCACGAACACACACGTACACACGTACACACGTACACACGTACACACACACACACACACACACACACACACACACACACACACGCACACACACACACACACACGCAGGAGCGCGCGCCGTGCTCCGCTGCCCTAAGAGTGTTGGCACTGATACATGTATTCTTGAGCTCACGGCCACAAATGCGCGCCTTTCTTCCTCCAAGTTCCCCTCCCCGCTCTCCAAACCCAAACAGACACAGACGC